GAGATCTTGAGAATACGATGCCCCTCTAGCTTTTTCCGCTATTCTGCGATTTTGGAACTTGACCGCCAATTCGAAGAGCTCCTGCAATGTGCTTGGGTTTCTAATTTCGAAGTAATCTTGAACAGCAGGTAGCAATCTTGGTAAGATTATTTCAATAATCTCCGCGTCGGGTTTCTTCCCATACAGCATATCCGTCAGCTTAATTTTTCGCAGAATAAAGTCCGTCAAACTCTTCTATATTCCGTTGATAAAAACTATATAGTTCGGCTTCTAGCCTTGCTCGGTCTTTTCACTATGGGGAAGGCCTTTAATAACGATTTTTTGAAATTTTCAAATGTATATGTTTGGCCTCCGAATTCCCCTAATAAAAATTTGCCTATATTCTTCCACCATAGCGAGGCCTGTCCTCTTAGTGCAGATGTGGCGAATGGCAACTTTTTGTCTTTCAGGCACAGGGTAGAGCTGGAAATGATTTTCGAGGCCTTCTAGAAAATATCGCCACCGAATTTTTTCCGTCGAAATTGACGTTTGGCTTGATTGACGCTCTCATCATCGTCTGGACCAGGTATCCAAATCCTTCCAATTGGCTTGCCATTTCTTGTTGTTGTCCAGCAAGCTTCCATCCAGTTTTTCGGCCATTTCAGTTCGACAAGTGTTCGGGCGCCAATGTAATGTTGCGCGGCCCCCAACCTGCACGCAACAATAGTGGTGACTGCTATGAACTGGAAAGTACACACAAAGTCTTGAGAAGGGTTTAAATCCCTTTTTATTCAACTTTAGAAATTACAAGATGCGTGCTCTTGACGCTCACAAACTACGCCGACCCGGCGGTAAAATAAAAATAAGAAACTAAAAATGAATAATAACAAGTGACTACCTACGAGGCTCTCTAAACGTAACTAACCTAACCGCGTTCTAAGATACCGCTGATATTTCAGCAAACTTCTGAATATTAAGTTGAAAGATTCAACTAATCTGCCGCCGAGGCAAGCACACAGGCCGAAACGCGCGGTTCTTCAATTTCTACGTAGCCACCTCCACGCTCGTGAAGCAAGAAAGCACACTTTCGAACTCGTTTCCCTTCTATTTAACTCAGATTACTTCCGCTGACAATTTGAATACTTTGCGCGTTCTACTAAAATTTACATACTCTGGCATTGGCAATTCCAGGGTAAAGTAAGGCTTGACAGGAAAGATAGTTTAAACTTAAAATAAATGTTAGTTAAAATAAATATAAACCCTACAGCTTAATGTATCATATGTTCACAGTTACAGCAAATGCAGAGATTTCACTTTCAGTTGAATGGCGAGGTAACGCATTGACGATTCTTAAATAAAACTATGTAAAATTATAAATTAAAAAGGAACTAAAACATCCGAAGTCTCTCCTTCTTTCCTCCCAAAAAAACGTTTCTTAAATTCCTAACTAAACTTCATCTTCTGCAGAGAATTCTAAAAAAAATCTAGATTAGCCAGGATGGAATTTGCATCAAAGCCTCCAGGATAGAATTTGCATCAAAGCTTATTGCAAACATATTCGTGCTATAATTAAATTAACTAGAAGAAACATTTTAAGCTGTCTAGAGTTAGATTTAAAAAGTTCTTTATCAAATATCGAGTGGAAATTTTATCAACATATTTGTAAGAATTTGTAAAACCCTACATAGATTATGTTGACGATAACCATCAACATAATCTATGTTGGGTTTTTAAAATAACGTTTTAAAATATGAGACCTAGGCCTTTTAATTTACAGCATTATCACCTTGAATATGTTGAAAAAAATAACATTATCTGCATATACAATATTGCGCAAAAGCATTAGACGAAAACGCAAGTAATACAAAAGGGTCAGCAGAAGTGGAATTATCTAAACTGAGGATCTTGGAATTGTCTGTCTTTTCCTCTCATGCATATTCCTTCACAATATCCAGGAACTTTAGCGGTGGGAATTATCCATTTTGTTGTCAATCGGCAAATTTTAAATATATTTAAACATCCAGCAAGCCTAACGTAAGGAAGGCTGCGACAACGTGTCGTTGGGGTGAGGGTTGTGAGGCAGCTGAGACTTTAGAAAGCACATCCTTCAAAGCACATCCAGCACATCCAGATCATCTTTGTGATTTAGAAAGCACATCCAGATCATCTTTGGTATCTTCCTCCAGAAGAGATTGAAAATTTTAATTAAAGATATTATTTACTAGATGTAAGAAACTGAATCCTCGAGACAAAGTAGAATATCCGTTTTTCCTTTACGGCCACCAAATTTGCAATTTCTTTTCCCACATACCATAATGGGATAAAACTCGTTGTTACATAACCATCCTATGTCTAGACTAGAAATTCCCAACGCTTTTCTTGCATCGAACCCTTTTAGAAGAATGGTTTTCTCCATTGGCCCCCTTACATTTTGCTCTATAACCTACAGCATACAACATAATTATAATGCAAATAATTGTATAAATAACTATGATACTATGAGCCCCGCTTTCACGTTCAATTTTCCGATATCTTGCAAGTGAACATTAAAATTTTCTGTCCAATTTCGGAAGTGGCTTTTATATAACAATATAATAACTTCTGGGGAAAACACAGTCCGTTTAAGTAATGGAATACTTTTCGATTCAGTCTCAATAAAAACAAATCCACTTTAGAACGACAACCGAAGATAACCGTTTTACCTTCAATTAGATTAATATCGCTTCTTTGCGGTTTGTTTCGAGTGTAGCTGAACAACGGATGTATATCATCCCTGTAGAATATATATCTTTTAAATTTTATTAGTTGTGTCGCTATAGGGTCGTCAACTTCTAAGAGAAAATTCTATCTCGGTGTTAAAAATGTCTATAAAACGTTGTAAACAGCTAGCCTTGGAGAATCGCCGTACGTACGGGTGAAGAAGCGAACTGCTGCAACTTCATCATTGTTGGTCATAGAGTTCTACAAAAAGATGGTCATTCAAACCTTTAGTTCTGGTAGTATTTATTGCTTTGATGAATAACTTTAAAACAATATGAAACTCTTCTTGGATATTTTTTGCAATTAAATGTTGCCAGTGCAAACAAGAAAAAAAGGGGAAAGAAGAAAAAAAAAAAGAACAGTTCAAATGTTAGGTATCTTATTTTTGAGATACGCTAAAAATCCTCAATAACTTTCAACTATCGCTGGTGCACCGTAACAAGAAGTTGCAGTAATGCTTAACGACAATGAAATGTTATACTGCTGGAAATTATTTTCAAAACAATGAAATGCGTTTTTTCCTTTTGTGCATATTTCAAGAGGTTTTGAGCACAAATGTTCTCTATTATATCTAGTTTAGTGTCACTATAATATAATAATGTGCACAGATTATTAAAACGCTATTCCCTCCAAAAGTCGATTCATCTAGATGTCTGGCAGATTTATTAACCCTAAATTAAAAGATTAGTTTTGGTTCAATGTGTTTGGACATTTCATCTAAATCGCATTGAGCTGTGTCTGCTGAGCGGCAGACTTTGTTAAACTGTATCCGGATTCATTTTCATAGCCTTGCTTGTTACTTCTCAAATTACTGGCAATAACAAATTTTCACCAACTCTGTGCTAGTGTTCTCCTTTTGCAATCAAACAGGAAATGTTATCTGAGTTTTCAAAAATGCATGAGTTTCTCGTGCGTGAAACTTAAGTTTCATGCTATCTTGAAATTTTTCCAGATTGTAGCAACAATCTTTTTCCCTCTTTTAAACCAACAATGATAAAAAAAAAGTAATTAGCTAATTTTCAAGAATTTTCTTAATAGTTTACTAAAGTATGATTTTAATCAGAAGCATAGGCTTCCCATCTTCACTGCCTTCGTTGGACGTCACGTGATCTACATTGGAGAAGCGGTTTCTGAGGATATGAAACCATTATACGTCATGCTACGTTTTTTCTCTTTTGCATAGATTTCTCATTTTTATTGGTTTAATTTATTTGTTTATTACTTTCATTTTTTCCTGCTGCTCTTTAACACAGTTACATATTGGCTGATGTCAATTTTTTTTTTCAATATTGAATATTTTTCGCATATCCTTCTTAACGAATGAACTTATCATCGCAGAATTTTATCTTCACACCAGCGAAGAGACTGAGAAATGATCTTCTAAATGGCATTCTTCAATGGTTACTAATAATGATAAATAGTTTTAATTCAAAAGATTTTAATCCTTTATTGCCAGCATTCATACAATTATAAATGATGATGAAATGGGATTTTAAAAATCAGAGAAAACCTGAACTGATCTGAATATATCTTATGGCATCAGATAAATTGAAAGTCCTTGAAAGAAAGATGCAATCGCGTATTACGTTTCAACGCTGTTTAGAAGAAGTAATTCTGCTGCGTTTAACGTAGTGACTTTCTTCTCTTTTTATCTTTTCAGGATTCTCTGGGGTAAAAAATAGAAAATAAAATATATAAGTTAATAAAAAATAATTACGTAGTTTTAGTTTAAAATCCTTTTTCCCATCTATCCCAATATAAAGCTAAGAATGTTTACATTCAGTTTCCTTAAATTTCTGTGAGATAATTTTGATTTAAAATTTGTTTTTGTTAGCTGCCTCATTTTATTTTTAGTCACATATCATCAAGGGTATTGTAAAAACCGATTTCCCCTCCTTTTTCTTTTTTTACTATTTAGTGCATTTATTGGTATAAGTTAAAAAGTTAATTTATGTATATATTTTACTCATTTTAGTATAAAATCTCCCCCTTCGGTATTTTTATGGATTTTTGTAATGCTTTTATGTTTTACATGGAATTAATTTTACCTTTTGCCCCACACGAAGAACAGGTATATTGCTAGTAAATAAACAATTATTGGCTGTAACATTTATATGTAATTACGTTTTAAGAGTAAAAAAAACAACAAAAAAAAAATGTAAGTTAAAAGTACTTATACATTCCTATTCATCTTGCCTTTCTTTGCAGTTATCCTCCGTTCTATGTGAAAGTTATGAAAAATTCTTTGTTTTAATTACTAGATTGGCGGAGCAAGCACGAATGATGTTGGACAGGGGAATGAGGTTTGAAAATGTTGCTCTAGGAGATAGGAGACCTACAGCTCTAATACGACGTTACGGTAATTTGTATGCCCAGTCCAGAGTAGACACTCTAGATGCCTTGGATAGTATTCCAGAGCTAGAGCACGCTCACGACTTAAAATCCAAACTTTTGTTTTCTGCCGTAGTTGTAAGTATATGTGAAAATTAATGACCTGTACTATATATATTTTTTTAAACTGATAATGTATACCTTTTGTTAAATGTATCTTACAATATCCTCTATAAATTAATTTGTCGCCTAAAGTAAAATGTCTTTCTAGAAATTCTAGCTTGGTGAAGGATAAAGCTTATATCACTCGATTAATGTTTTACTTGCGATAAAATATACCAACAAAACTTTTTTAGTGAGATGAGATTTCATTAAAATTATGTTTGTTAGAAATATAAATTTTTTCATAAATATATCAGGAACAAAGAACCTGCAGCCTGTAAGGCTATTTACAGTTAAATAGTTACTATTCAGTGCATCAAGTAAGTTAAAAAATTTTATTTTGTAGTTTATATAAAAACAAGGAGTAGTAAGTTAAAATGAAAATACGATTTAGAAGAAGATTAAAGATTAAATTCTAATGAATCTTTTCAAAATAAAAAGTTTTTTTTAAATTATACTGCAGCATATAGCCAGATTATTTCTCAAATTTTTACAAATTACATTTCTCAGAAACATCTTTTTTTTTTCTTTTTAAATTGTCAAGCATCTCAAATCTGAAAGAACATTGAAAGCGAACACTATTTAAACTGCAATTTTTCGAAACTTACTCCTTTCTGGTAGAAGTACCGCAACATTTCACTAAGTTCAATCACTCGTAATTAGATTCTGATGCTTCAAAATACTTTTTCACATTTCCAATGCAACTTTTCATGTATTCTCGTAAAACCTGGCGCCAAAGCCAGAATTTAAATTTTTTTTAACACCAAGCTAATTTTATTTATTTACATACTTATAGTCCACTTGCACTTTGTTTTACAAAATCTGAAAAAATAAACTTAATTTTTTAACTTAAAAGTTTCATTCCAGATGCTAGAAATGCATCAATTACTATTTTCCTGGTGAAGTTCATCGAGACAGAAGCGGTTCATTCCTTTCAATTTTAATACTTAAGCTATATTTTCTAACATAGAAACTTTTAAATAAAGAGTGTATTGCTTTCTGAAAAAAAAAGTGCAAACGGTTAGAGCTGTTAGCACATTTGAAAGAGAAAAAAAAACTGAGAACGAATAAATGCATAAAAAAGAACAAAATCGCAAAATTTTTTAGTCCAAGAACAGCTCATTTAGCTTTTACTGAGTAACTAAGCAACATAGCTATTTGATTTTTGCCCATAAATTTAGTTTGATTTTGAAAAGTCTAATATTCACGAATATCGGTATGCCATTCAATTTCTCTAGAACCCGAACAAAACAGCTACAGCTTCTGAGATGCTAATATTCAGAGCATGAGGATTCTGCAATTCTTAGAATTTCCAGTACATTAAAAACGATCTTCAAAATTTTAAAGTGAATGAGAGATATGTTGTCATTCGTATTTGAGTTATTATTCCTATCATCATTTCTGTAATCAGCCTCAAAATGAATTTTCTTTACATTTAACCCGTCTTTCAAAAGCACTCTGCATTATTTTTCTTTTCTTGACACAGTATTGGATTTTAATGGTTTCTTTTGCGACAATCCAAGCAAGCGATTTTTCCTGTCATCTTCATAATCACTGCATAGGAAATGTTCTCTGCAAATTCTTGCGTTCTTCACATTAATAGAATCCTGTCTTCGATACACGTATCCATTTTATTCGCCAAAAGCAAATTTTTCTTTGGGAAAAAATATGACATACAATATCATTATCTTTCTAATTTCCATGAATTTTATAGCACTTTGCTACAACACAGGAAGACACTGGTGTCTTCCTGTTTCCGCGAAATCATCAATCTTCATTCCCCCTTTCCCAAAGGGGTTACATAGTGGGGGCCAACTGGGCCTCGGCCTCTCCCGAAATGTAGGAAAGAAAAGAAAAATTAAAAGAAATAATCGAAAAATATTTGAGATCTCAGATCTTTGAATGAATGAAGCTAATGCTGTATTTAAAAGGGGAGAACCAGATGTTCAAACTCTGCGATGATTTTGTCAATGAACTAAAAGACTAAATTTCTTAAAGTAAAAATAATATTCTTCCGAAATTCTGCATAAAGGCAATTTATAATGAAATTTTTCAGAATGATATTTGTTATAAAAAGAAAGGTGGATTAAAAGAAAATACACTTCGAATACCATAGCAGCTTCTGACTAACCTTTATAATATCTGAACCTCGACTGAATGGACTTGCTTTACATGCATTCATCGGAATATCCAAATACATTAAAAGAAATCATTGATAAATTTAACAATCGTCAAAGGTAAATTTGTTAGTTTCAAAGATTTAACTCAAAAGTTCTAGAAGTATGGCGCCCGATTCAGCCGTGATTGTATATATTTGTCATAATAATTTAAAATAATTAATTATGTATATATACTTGTAAGTAATTATTAAAAGTAAATATAAGCAGTTATAGAGTATATTTTAAATAATTCAGTTTTATATATACATGTATATAGTATGTATATAATAAAATTGGTAAATATTATCAAGTTATTTAATATTATTTCATTTTACAATGCTCTTTTTCCAAGTCTCCTAGTCATCTAACTTCTTTTTTAAGAGAAACTGTACTTTGTGAGTCACTTGCAATTCCAACTCAAAACGCGGTTCACAATTAAATTAAATTTATTCTGATTGGTCGTAATATTAAACTTTGGAAACACTGGTTCAATAATTGTAAATGAATTCAATTAGAGTCAGCTACATTAAAGCAACTATCAAGTGACTTTGGCTTATTATGACGGTGGATATTTTAAAAGATTGATTAAGGTAACAATTGAAAATAACAGCTAATATTGAAACAGAATAGAACAAATAGAATTAAACTAAAGATTTCGAGAGAAGCCTAAACTAAAACACGATGTCAAGATGAAGACTAATTTATTCACAAAGAAATTATCCAGCTCTTCTTAATGACTTATCTTGACATTCCCTGAGGAGCTGTGGGAAGGGGACTGTACTCTCCGATTTCGCGGGAACAGGAAGAATTTTGAAAAACGCGGAAAGAGGAATCGCGTAAATAGAACTAATTCGAAGACATTGACGGGCAGCAATTACAAATAAATAAATAAATAAATAAATAAAATTTAAAAATAAAAATAAATAAAAATTAAAATTAAAAAAGGGATTTATTTTTTTTTATTAACAAAACAAAATTTTCTAATTAAATTAAAACTTTTTGCTAGATATTTGTAAAAACATACGAATAAAAATAGCGCAAAGAAAAATATCAAATTTATACGTATATTTTGCTTGAAATCTAGAGGTTGGTATGGGCAAGAAATTTCTGTTGGTTACAATTTGGAATTCAAACAGACAGCTAAATATTACAATTTTCAGATTGGCGTTTATTCAGCTAACAGTAATATATTAAACTGCTAAAAGTAACTTCCTTTTAATATAAACTAAAAAGAAATATACTATCTTTCTAATTTCCATGAATTTTATAGCACTTTGCTACAACACAGGAAGACACTGGTGTCTTCCTGTTTCCGCGATTCCTGTTTCCGCAGTTGTCAAAAACGTTCCTGTTTCCGCGAAATCATCCCAAGGGGGACAGGACCCAAAAGGGACAAAACTTAAGAATAAATAATGACAACCTAGTATCTTTCTTTTATTAATTAGATTTTTCTATAACGAAAAACAGAAAAAATAATATTTGTATGTAAATTAATGTAAACTTCTTTGTTTTTTTACTACACCTTTCAGCTACACCATCTCATGACGTTTTGATTTTCATGAAGTTTGTAATCTTGGAGGGAAATTACTAGAAAGTATTATAACAAATTGTAGACACTCATCTACAGTCTCGTTCTTTCTCGTAGACTTATTAATTTTCAACTATGAAAATAAAACTATTCTCACGTAAATGCACTCTAAAAACAAAGCTAGTATTCTTATCGCAAAAATTCGTAACTTAAGATATTTATCTTTTGACAAGTATTATTAAAAGTTAATCAAATTTGTATCTTAAAATCTTTAAGATTATATCTTTAAGACAAAATTTATATCACAATGTAAATTAATTAGCTCTATTTCTACATTTTCTGAAGAGTTACGTTCGTTTTTTGTAATGACTATAACGTAAATCTGCACTCCAGACGATTAAAATCAAACATTTTCTTCAAATTCTTGTCATAATAACGCTAATTAACTTACGGGACATATATTCCCAGAAGGCAGCATAAAATTACTTCTAGGGCCGCCAGTTTGACATTGCTTCACTAGAAAACAATATAGGTGATTAAAATTAATTTGGAATGTCTACATTGCTAGTTTAAGCAGGCGAAGTCAGAGCAGATGCAACGTAGTGACGTCTGACTGCTTTCTGTTAGCACATGGAGGTAGGAAGTCCTTTCCTACCTCCATGTGTTAACACCACCTAAGAGGATCACGTCGGCGAGGAGTCACATAAAGGAATGACTGTTTTAACCCTTCTGTTTAAACCTTGGAATTAGAACCAGCAACCATACGGAAATGAGAAAACGAATGCAGCGCCATCTGTCTATAAAAATAGTAACGAAATAGGGAAAAGCTAATATATTAGAATTTTCAAAGCAATGGAAAGAGCAGGATTGGAATTATAGTCAATAATTAAAGGAGATAAATTTTTGAGCATATGAAAGCATCTGAAAGACTTCAAGGAAATCCAGTTTGTCCACCGAAGAAGCTTTGTGGATAATTTTTGGAAAATGAAAATCAAAACTGGGGTGTAAATAGCTATGTTTAGCTATCGAAGATATGCTTATTTCTCCTTCATTTTTTATGCTTGCTGTGCCAGACTTTATTAAATTGTTCACTGATAATGCTTTTTATGGAATGTAAGATCACATGAAACATACACTATTCTTTAACAGCAATGAAAATTTCTGAGACGTTGTAAGTCTCAGATTCAGATTAGAACTGTTTCTGCAATTTCTCTGCCCATGTTATGTTAAATTTTTGGTGATAGTATTAAATAATCATTAATTATGTTGTTTTTTTTCGTTTTGATATGCAAGCAACTTTTACTTAGGGTTATATTATGCTTGAAAAAGAGAGGTGAGAGAAAGGTAAAGTCTGTATCATTCCTTTGTAAGTGGCTATTTGTTCAATGTTAAAGCTGAAACAGAAGTAAAGGGTATTTTTTTTTTTTTTTTTTTTTTTTTTTTTTTTTTTTTTTTTTTTTTTTTTTTTACTTTCCACCCCACATGCAAACAAATATTTATAATTATTTTGATGCTTTTGTAAGCAAGCAAGATGTTTTTATATTATTGAACTGTATGAAATTTAAAAGCTGGTGAATCAAAAATTTCGCTGGAAACGTCTGTTGAAAATATGAAGATTTGTACTTGAGGTAAGTGTTTTAAATTACCAAAACCAAATGCTTTTTCTGAGGCACGGAAACAATCACGCACAGGCAGTAGGACTGTTATGGAATTTTGGAGTAAGAGATTGTATAATAAAATTCAGTATGGAAATTGTAATCCACGCATTTTATGATATAATATCGAAACAATATTGTAATGCCCTGCAAGAACATAAAAACAAGATCAAGTGAGATATCTAAATACGTCCCATAATAAATAAAAAAACAAGAAAATACGCATGGGGAAAAAAAGCAAGTAAGTATGAACATTAAAACTATAATATTCAGATAATGAATTTACTTTACTATCCTACCAATTACAATGGCTCACAAAAGTGAAAGAACCTTACACATGTCAAATGCTAAAAATGCATCACTCTTATTTTATTTTTATTATAATAAACCATAACGGCATACATACTGAAATATGTATATTGCATGAAAACTGTTTTACTTATTGTTTACTAAATGTTTATTTACTGGGTGCATACATTTTTTTCGCGTCTCTGCGAGAAGAAATATCATAAAATTCAGGAATACTTGAAAAAGTAGCTATTTATGCTTTTAAAACAGTGTTATTATAGTATTTCAGAACATTTCAACTTTATATGAGCATCTGTAATTTTTATTTCTAGGCTGATGGAATTAATGGTACAGTGTACATAGCTATTTAGGTCAAATAGTTAATAGTTCAGTTTCGAAAGCAAGGCATCCGTTCCAGGAAACAGCAGAAAATTTACAGCGAATCGTGTCGATATTATCATTCGGAAGCCCACGAGAGCGCGCTGATAACCGATAAACAAGGTGGAAAGCATTACGCAGATTCTGCAGCATACGGCTAAGCTCCAAATAATCCGTCAAACAAAAATTAAAAAATTACAATATGCAGAAAATTGCGACAGTGTCACGGTCAAGAGTACAGAGAAGTGTCTCAAATGAAACTCTCTGTTTTGTTTTTTAGAAAAGATGTTTATGATATTCATATAGCTCAAAGAAAGCTTTTCATAAGTAAAACCAACAGAATAAAAACAACAATCGTTGAAGACCTTATAAGGTATTTCTCCCGCCTTCTTAGCATGCCTTCGTGGTGCAGTGCTCAGCACACTCGGCGCGTATTCGAGAGGTCCGTGGTTCGACTCCCGGCGAGGGCATTGTTCATTTTTCATCTCTCCTGCTTCGAAATAACCTAATAGCTCTACAACTTTATTAGGATGCTTCAAAACTTCTGGAATCATGTTACATTCAGCGCTGATAGGAAATTTAGCATTTTAAGGAATAAGGGCTACTTCTGTATTGTGAAGAAACTAAATATTGAAAAAGGGTAAAAAATCTCCGCATCAAAAGTAAAACATTACCCTGTATTTGTTCAGGGTTATATGTTGCCGAAAGTAGTTGAAAGTTGGTGTTTGCCAACAGTATCATGAATAAAAAGGGACACCTTTATGCACTAAAACAAAATTTTTATATAAAAAGAAAAAAAAAATCCAGAAATTATTTTTAGGGTTCAATTTTATTTTTTAAAACGACAATCACTCCAAACATGCGGAGAAAAATAATAAAGTTGTGATTCATGTGTCGTAATAAAAAAAGGCATAAGAACCATATAAAGATTAAGGCTACATTTAAATTTAAATAGATTAACTGTGTCAAAAGACAGACTGACGCTTCAGTATTCCAGAGATCAAAATCCCTTAATATATTTCCTAAATACTGAACTAAACATTTCAAAAAATAAAACAGTATTTCCGTTTTTTCCAAAGTTAAATTTTCAAAATACAGTGGTGTCCAAAATTATCTTTACTTGAACAAAAACACTGATTTCTCAAAAACTAAGGAACTGTTAAAATCAAAGTGAAAGGTATTTATTTGGAATGATATGCAGTATTATAATATATGAATCTAAACTGAAATATCGACTACGAATGCATATGACGCAAACTACACTGTAAAACTACTAAGGCTAAATTGATATTTGACATCTAAATTTTAGTAAAAAGTTAATAACTCGAAACTTTTTCCATTAATAGACAATGTAATCTGTCCAAACTCATATATATATATATATTATATATTATATATATATATATATATATATATCACAACACTACTTCCTGCTTTCAGTATGGTAGCTAATTAAAATCTAAGAAAGTAAGTTTCTCTCATCCAACAATGTGGTCTTCAAGAAACTGAAATCTTTAAGGGGAAAATTGTGCAGCAGTTCGTCCAAGGATATCCCGCAAATTCTATATGGGACTCAAAGCATGTTGGCCAGTATATTCTCTCAATTTCTTCGATTTCAAGGAATTCCTCAATCAGATTTTATCTGGGTGGACTCCTGCATAAATTTCTCTGGGTACAAGAGATAAAAAGAAAGCCAGATCTGTATTTTACATCCAATATAGGTTTGTAAGACTTCATCTCGATATTTCCGAGCAGTCACAAGTTCTCTGCCAAATGTTTGTGTTATGTATCAAAGGTATATGTTGTGTTCATTGGTCTTTACTCCTACCCCTACTAACGCATCTGTCACAAATATCATGTTTCTTGTTGTTTGTTTGTTGTTTTTAATCCCCGTGACCAGCAGAGCTAATAGATGAACACAGACCCATTGCTGTTAACTCCAGCTGTGAGGTTAGTTAAACACATGTCATTGACTTTCTAAAAAAAAATGGCCTGTTCTCATCAAACCTTCTATGCACAGCAATACTGAAATTCTATTGATAGCTCTGAATGCATCTGCCTTTGAATCAGTTCTTGTTGCGACGAGCAATTAAGAACAGAAATCGATCTTTAGGAGGAATTGATTTTTTCTTCAAATCATGTCCGGCGTCTTAGCAACAATGTCACAGTCTTTCAGATGATGGATGTTAAATGGCTTGAAACATTCAATCATCTTTTCACCAAAAAATTCAATTCGACAAACACCGAAATTAAATCCTGAACTACAAGCTCTTGCGACGAAAAACATGTTTTGTTATACCAAGCGTTTTCTATCCTTTGGATGGTATTATCCCATTTATTTTCATTTGAAACAGAGTTTGGTCAAAGTGGATTGGATAATGAAATGTATGAAAATGTAAATCATATTACTTCTTGAAATACCATTTTCTTATGTAAGTAAATATAATTTTGGTCATTCTATATATTATATTAACATTTTGCAGGTTTAGAGTAAAATTTAACTCAAACGCAGTAAGCTACCGAGTCATTTCTTTTTCCTTACTCAACCAGTGTTACAGCAGGTAGCATGAATTAAAATATTGTAATTCAAATAGCTGGTTACACCCTAAAAAGCACTTTCAACCCTTTTGTTTTGCACCTTCGAATTATAATATATCTCGGAGCTTTTAAGAGTACTTCTGAGTCTAATGTGGTATTCGTTGAATAATAAGTTTTAGGTTCAACAATGCAAGGCTTTGTAAGCCTAGACCATCTTAACCAAACAGATCCAGGTTTTAAAAAACCATACATTAAAAGTTTTATGCTATATTTTAAAGTTTTATATTAAACTGATTTATTATGTTGTTTTACTTCCTAGCTGTCTTTTCGATCTGTTCATAATACTATTTGTGACATCAAATCCCGTATAAGGCATATTCTACAGATTCCAGACGACAGAGAGAGACCAGCAGACCCAGCAGTCCGAGACTTGGATCTCTACATTAGCAATTATCTGAAACATTCTGCCGATAGATTTGACCTAAGGAAGAATTTCGAAGTAAGGATATTTGTTATACTCATTACAACATTTTATTTTGTTTCAAATACTCCTAAAGTAAATTTTATGTTTTTTAAAATAAAAAAACTTTTGAAAATATTTTATTGAACAGTATATAAGCTTCTATGAATACAGTATTTTATTATAAGTGAGGGGAAAGAACTTTTTTCATTGACGATGATCATTAAAAATTTAGCCAGGTCAATTTAAAAATTAAAGAATATTAAAAAATGCAATTTCATACAATGGCTAGTCAACGTAGTCAACTATCCATTTCGTTGACTAGCCGTTAAGTTAAAATTTCGTTTTTCGTAATTTATTTGAAATGTATATGACTTACTCTTCAATCCATGTTTCGTTCTTGGAATTTTTGTTCTGCTTCTGTAACTTAAAAAACAAACATTTTTAATTTAGTATATTAACATGCAAGCAATGCAGCTTATTGCCCTTCTCACAGCATACACAGGAAATATTCTGATATTATCTAAAAGAATTAAAAAATTATCTTTTACACATTACGTCTGGCTGGAAGCTCCGGCAACGTGGGTTAATAGCAAAAGAAAGAAATATGTATAGATATATATACACTCAGGAACATTTGAAACAGTGTTTGGATAATGATATTAAGTTTTCTTTTCAATAATGATTATTAAGTTTGGATTATTAAGTTCTTTTCAATAATGATTATTAAGTAGATTGGATAATGATTATTAAGTTTTCTTTTCAATACAGCGCATCAAAAAGGAAGAAAAGTATTTACAAATAAGTACAGTGAAATCCGATATGCAAATGATCCAAGTTTGGTGCCAATGCGCATGACCACACACCCTGCAGTGGCGCTGCAATCAGAAAGTGGGCTCTATATAAATCGGCGCATAGATGAAGATTCAAGATCCACAGTCATGCATTTCCTCACCTGATGTACTCGAAGAAGCGTCTACCTTATGACAGCCGGAATAGAGTTGGCATTGCAGCCAGCTATTCGCGGCTCACAGCGGAACTTGGAAGATTCATGAAAACTAATCTGCAATGCATAGAAGAAGCTCACGGCCCCCTTTGCGAAAAGTACTCCAGGGATCTACAATTCTTTTGGAAATTAAAATTATTCATCGAAAATGAGATCGTCCTGGAACGAGTACCTCCCATTTATAGGCCTAACATTCCAGCTGAATTTTGTACCTGCGACGATAATTCTCTGCAGCTTGGCGAGCCAAAATTAAATGTACGTAAGGACAAGTACTCCGTCGTGCTCTGATGACGAAAAAAACAAGAAACTTAAGTCTCTTGATGAGGAATCCAGTGACTCTGACTCCGGACCCAGAGGAGATACTACAAAAAGAACCAAGAAACCGACTCGAAAGATGAACCCAACCGACGACGCTGATTCGTCAGCAGTTAAGCCAGCGGCGCAACCCGCTTCTGACAACCTGGATAATATGGATACAGCCCCTGATGTACAGCTCCAGGCACCTCCAGCCAATGATAACTCTTCATCTGGTAAGACACCTCCTATCATCGTAAAAGATTCGAAAAACACTTTCATCAATGTTAAAGTTATCCTTGCAGGATATAACTTAAATGCTGAACGGGATTATATCGAGAAGATGATCCCAGGAGGTTTTAAACTCCTATCGAAAAATCCAGCTTTTTACAAACAAATTGTTAAAGTATTGACCGATAAAAAAAACTCATTCCATTGCTTCTCCTTGCCTGAAGCTAAGTACACTGGTGTACAAAACTCAAGCAACAATGCAAATTTTAATCAGATAACTATGCAGTTGCAGAAAAGGGATTCTTGCTATCAGTACAATGAACACGCAATTCAGTAGGAAGGTCATGCATGTGCAAATGTCGGGAAAAAAGCATCACAGCTACGTGATCGTACGCAAAATGCATGCGCTCCACTCGAGACTACCATAAAAGGAAGAACGAAGACGCAATTAAAGACATTCGCTGCAAATACATGTGAAATATGGCTGGAAGAAATCATCTGGATGATTTCACGAGTGGAAGAATTATCGGAAAGCTGGAGGAAGGGCGTAGTGTGACCAGTGTGGCTGAAGATTTCGAAGTCAACAAAAGTATCGTTTTGCGGGCTTGGAAAGCCTTCCAAATCATAGGTACAGCTATTAGAAAGGTTGGTGGTGGCCGCTCTAGGACAACAACTGCAGCAGATAACCGATATATCGTCCTACAGGCGAAAAGAGCCCAAAAACCAGTCAGCAAGCTCCCCAGCTCAGCAACTGTGTACAGACACCTTCACAGAGATGGCCTATTCGCCCGCCGTCCTGAACGCTGCATCCCTTTGAAAGTTGGCCATCGGCGCCACCGTTTAGAGTGGTGCAAGGAGCGCAAAAACTAGGCATCTCATCGACTCATTACTGAGTCGTGTCCTCCTTACGGATGAGAGTCGTTTTAGTGCACCAAGCGATTCTCAACGCCAACTTATTTGGAGAGAGGTAAGGACACGTTTTAATCTCAGTAACATCAGGGAAAGAGACCATTACGGTGTCCCGGAGATCTCGTCTGGAAAGGCATTATGCTGAACGTGCGGACTCCACGTTTTCGACAGAAGTTCTGTAACCGGAGATCGCTATTGTCAGGAGGTGATCCTTCCCTATGTGCGTCTGTTCCGAGGTGCAATTGTACCAGACTTCGTTTTTATGGATGACAATGCACGGCCATACCGAACTCCTGCTGTTCAGAAGCTACTGAAAAGTGAAATTATCACTCGAATGGATTGGCCAACGTACTCCCCTGATTTAAATCCCATAGAGCATGTGTGAGATGCTTTGGGAAGACGCCTTGAGGCACGATTACATCCTCCGGCGAATACCCAACAACTGAAACAGATGGTGATTGAGGAATGCGCACTCTCACCTCAAGATCTGTTGGACAATCTGGTGCTGAGTATGGGCAGACGGGAAAAGCAACCATTGCAGTAAGGGGAGGTAATATCCAATACTGAGGAACATCTGCTTGTTGTTCTTCCTCTTATACAGACAATCATGTGTAACGATACTATGAGTTCAATAAAGCCTGTTTTTGTTTAATTCCATACTGTATGCATTGTATTTATTTTTGCGCAATTATGCTTTCGACATCGTTTAAATACAAAATGCTGTCTCTTATTTCTAAATTTCATGTCTCTCAGATGATATCTCGTGGATTTATGTCAAAAAGAACACCTGTTGCTTAAGTTTTGCACATCAGTGTACATCAAAGCGGTCATTCATAGCCTCCCAGCCTATTTCAAATCTGAGGATATTTTGGAAGTTTTGAAAATTAAGAGATATAGTGTCGTTCGGGTAAACCAGATAACTAGAAGAAGGAATGGAGAGGTTATCCCGATGCCGTTATTCCTCGTCACGCTTGAACGCAAAGAGGAAAATAAAAATTTTTATCATATCCATTGTATCCTTGGTATGAGAATCGCAGTCGAACAGTACAGAGGACGAGCTGGATCCTTGCAGTGTTACCGCTGTCAAAGGTTCCACCACGCTCAAATGCACTGCAAACACGAACCGCGTTGTGTGCGCTGTGGAGATTCTCATCAATCTTTTATCCGTACTAAAGACCGCAGTGAACCACCGAAGTGTGCAAACTGTCTTTAGATCGGCCACACCGCGAATTTTTGTTGTGAGAAATTTCCAAAATCTAAAGCTCCTCCTCCACCTAAATCCTTCCAGGATCGAGTTGTGACAAATAAAGGTTATCTTAAGGCCTTCACCACAGGAATTGCTCCTAAGTCTATTCAAGAAGCTAAAAAAGTGCTGAACGACCTAAAAGTCCTTCGTATCTTTTATTCAACAATCTGGACTGCCTCTACTTTTCCAGCAATTTACTTCAATGAACAACGCTGTAAATAATGACATCCCAACGAAACTAATTAATGGATAAATTCACTTTTAACGCAAAGCCTGTATTATTCCTCGTATGGAATGCAAATAGCATTCTGCATAAGAAAAACGAGCTTCAGGACTTCTTATACGAAAATGACTTTGATATCGCTTTAATTGCAGAGACCCATGCTCAGCAATGTCACAGACTTTCCATAGCTAATTATCTCTTATACCGGTGTGACAGAACTAGCCATCGTGACGGCGGTGTTTGTATATATGTAAAAAGAAGCTTTAATTCGTGCCTTATCAAATCCTCTACCGATTTTAATTGCGAAACTATTACTGTGTATGTCAACCTTCCAATTTTCAAGAATATTCACTTCACTGCTTGTTATAATCCCCCAAATAACAGATTAAGTGAAGCCCAACTGGTTTCTTTGCTACGTCCAGACGTCCCTACAGTGCTGGCAGGCGATTTAAACGCCAAACATAGGGTCTGGAACTGCAGCAGTCCCAATAAAAATGGCAAACTCCTATACGATTACATTTTTAATCATCCTGTAGCCATATATGCTCCTGATGAGTACACGTACAGCCCTGGGAGGCCTGAATATGCAGATATTTTAGATATCGCCCATTCTACTAACAATATTCCCATAATTATGGACGTCAAACATAAACTTTCTTCCGACCATATTCCTATAACTGCATCTCTCGGAGTGCATAAATCGGATGCAAGAATTACAAAGACACAGACTGACTGACTCCTGTTCGAAAATATCCTTAAAAGCAGAAATATTTCTTTAACTGATCTTCATACTTCTGGTATTGACTATTTTTTTATTCCTTAACCCTCCATATACAAGCTGCCCACTCAGAAGCAAGCGAGACTGTAACAAGAAAAGAAAACCTGCTTAGACTCCCTCCTAAAATTAGAGCTAAAATGAAATACAGAAATAGACTCAGAAAATCCTTTCACCTCACTTGGGATCCCAATATTAAAAGAAATATTAATAGACTCAATAAGGAGATCAAAAATGATAAAAATTTTCAAGGAAGAACTCTGGAATGAAAAGATGCTTCACCTCAGCACTATTGATGGCTCTTCATGGATTCTCATCAAAAATTTAAAATCTTCTTATTCTGGTTATCGACCTA